CCCACCCCCCCCCCCCCCCCCCACATAGAATCCCAGGTATCCCAAGCCCTAAGGCTACAGGGGTTCTGTTTGGGGTTTAGGGGCTGTCCTTGCGACTCGAGTAGTTTTTTTTTGGGTGTAGGTTTCAGAGCCTTTTGGGGGGTAAGGGTTTAGGGCTTAGTGGTGGCTACTTAGACCCTGTCCAGGTATAGTTAGAGAGGCATTCCTTGTGCGCTGTCGGTTTCTCTAAGCTACCAGAGAAGGGGAGGTTTTCGGTGAGGGTCTAGTACCACGAAAACACAACCCATACACACCTACACCGAACGAGCCGTATAAACACTCACCGAAGCCGTAGTACCATTCATACCCGCGTCATTACAGAACACCAACAGGACCCGTATAGAATCCGTAAGAAACCCTTCTAAAACCCGAAACGACTGAAAGGGTAATCCACCCTAAGCCAAGGGAAAGCCACCCTAAGCCCCTAAAACGCTCGACGCCTCAATTCCAAAATCCTAAACCCTCCACCCGCAACCCAGTAGTAACAATCTTGAAGGATGCTCTCTTCAACGTCTATGGTGACGACGATGATGATGGAGACGAGGCCATGCGATGCCAAATTTTAAGATGTGTAAGCTCCGTAGGGAACGCTATTCGGATGGGGTGTGTGCTTGCGCGCTTGCCGGGCGGAAGGAGGGGGTAGCAAGGATTTCGCTGATTCAGGCTCGGTGATGTAGGCCTGATATGATGGTTCTGGCAATGTACTGTCTGAGAGATTAGCTCTGGTTCACTGGGCTGTTCGGGAGGTAACTCTTGGGGAAAAATGATTGCGCATGTGTCGTTCTTTTCACTTGCTTCGGTCGTCGTATGGTGTCCACAGAGAGAGAGAGAGAGAGAGAGAGAGATGGGTAAAGCCAGAAAGAACAAACATGAACAACTATATAGATCGATAGATAGATAGATAGATAGATAGATAGATAGAGAGAGAGAGAGAGAGCGCGCCAGAAAGAACAAACACACAAATATATCGATCGATCGACAGGTAGATCGATCGATAGATAGGTAGATAGGTAGATAGGTAGATAGGTAGATAGGTAGATAGATAGATACATAGATAGATAGATAGATAGATAGATAGATAGATAGATACATAGATCGATAGATACATAGATAGATAGATAGTAAGTGTTGATTTTGATCATATGGTCCCTCCTGCAAGCCTCTCAAGGAACCGAAACCCACTCCCACATAAGCCCTATGCCTACGCAACTAACGCCTTAAAGACACTCCTCAGCTATCCCGGAAGCTAAAATCTTGCGGCCCTAGACCCATCCGACACCGTAACCACCATGTCTTTAGAGAACACTACACCGAGCACACGAAGCATTACACACAAGTGCGTGTGGTCCCCCGAACCTGGTTGCCTGACCAGTCTTGGGAGAACATGAGCCCTTCAAAGCGTACATGTTCAGGATCCTTATCATGACATCCTTACGTAGTGTATGTCCCGGTTTAGGGGTTTAGGGTTCAGGGTTTAGGCTAGGTCTATCGTGCTGCGGGAAGCCACTGTTCTCTTACACAGGTTCTCGATGGCCCTGCTTTTCTTGCAGAGATCTCCCAAAGATGAGCTTTCGGTTTCTCTCAACGCCAATCTCTGCCTCTGGCCTAAACCCTAAACCCTAA